AATAATATAAAAATTTAATAAATAATTTAAAAATTTTTAATTTTATGTGTCGCTTATAAATAAAATCACAAATTAATATTATCTTTTATTGGATTAATTTTAGTGTTTATAGATCGTGTACTTTAGAATATACAGTCTATTTGATTCTACGGATGCTTCGAAGTATTTTTTGATTGGTCAATTAGTAAAATTCTTTCTTCTGATTGGTGGTCAATTAAATGCTTCGAAGCATTTGTAGCATCAAAACCTGGACCCATTATGCTTTTTTACTTTATGCATTGTAGGCTTAGGATTGCAAATTGAGGATTTGAATTCAGCCAATTAGAACGAAACGGATTAAAATTAATTATTACCTGAACTTTAATCTTTAATTTGAAATCCTCAATCTTCTCATGCGTTAGTGAGTCTCGTAAACTCACTTCAAAGTGAGGTTACCTGTGTTGACATGCAATAACTTTTTACCAAAGCAAGTAGTGAGTCAATTGCTATTCAACAGAGAAAATTAAAATTATAAGTTAGCGGTTAATGATTCTTTCATATGATTGGTTCTTGCCTTTAGTTCTTCGCTAAATTTAAGTGTAAGAACCAATCGTATTAAAGAATTATTATACGCTAATTGATTAGTTTTTCTTTGCTGAACGTAGCCATTAATTTGAGTGTAAGATACTTAGCTTACTTCAAACTCAGTTTCACTTGTGTATAAATGGAAAATAACTATTGCTTCTCTTCTTCTTCTTCTCTCTCTCTCTCTCTCTCTCTCTCTCTCTCTCTCTCTCTCTCTCTCTGTTATTTTCTCTATTATAAAATATTATTTATAAAACTTTATATAAATTTGTATATTTAGTGTATCATAATAATAAATATAAAACAACCGAATGTACGTACTTTTGATCGCAAATTTATTGCCTGAATTTGAAGTTGATGACTGATGCATTCATAAGTTTATATATACTTCTGATATAGTTGAGATAACAAAGATATAAATCACATTTTTCTAAATATTTCAACAATGCAATATTGCACGATAAAATATTATATTTATAGTTTGTACGATATGTAATTTATTAAAAGTATTAATCTTAATAAAATTCTCAGTTTTCACTGTCATAACTTTTCTTAGAATAAACAGAAGGATAAGGACTTATTTCCAATGAAGTATATAATCTGTGGTAGTTTTATTTCTATTGATTACTATATCTATAACATTCGAGTTTACGATATCGTCAACAGATTGTGTTTCACGTGTTCAGAAATCATCAAAAACCTTGAAGAATCATAAATCTAGATGGCCAAAGTCCAACAAATTTATAATAGACACAAATAAAGATAGAAACTTTGTAAATAAAAAATAAATTTAGTGAAATCTTGAATAAGTCATGAATAAAGTTCTATATATGATAGAATATATGTTAATATTATATTTAAATATTAGAAACTGTACATAATTTAACATTTTAACTACCATGGCAACTACATCTAAATATGATGAACTTTTGTGAAAGTTCTATCATCGGACAGATGATATTGTCTTACAGATAACATCTTTATTTACCAGGTTAGAAATTATTTTATTAACATTGTAAATGAGAAATATGAAATATTCGAAGTCTTATTTGTATAAGACAATTTATTGTGAAAATTACTTACAAATATTTAATTTTGCGTTATGTCTAT